TATGGAATTTAAATAGTATGATGAAAAAGAAGATCTGGTATACTATCAATTATTGAACTGCACTTCAGCAATTGCTGATGAATCTTTAAAAAGTTTATAATCTTTTTGGTGTAATATTACCAGATAGATTCCACATTTCAGTCCTAAAATTCCTCTTAGGAGAATTAAGAAGTTTAAGTGACAGTTACCTACTAATTCAATCCTATAATCAAATAACTGTCAGCTTTAATAGTGAGCTAACAAAACCAGCAGTAGATAAGAAACAGCTTAGAAGTGTGAGTTTGCATGCAATGACAAGTTTGACAGAGGAAAAAGCAAAATAATTTGACTATGTTTCCATCAGGTAGGAGGGGGACGGTTGAATCTTGAAAAACAGAGGATATAAGATGAAAAACCTCAAATCGCCAAACTGTATTCTCTAAACTTCAGAGAGCTTAACAAGGAGCCTTCATTGTGTGTTGAAAACAGAAAGAGTTTAGGTTGTCTATGACATCTTACTGTGACAAAGCTAAAAATTTGAACAGGTTATTTGGAGCTTGAACGTAAGACTTTAAATATCTTAGTTTTGCTGGGTTTTTATTAAAGATCCATGTTGGAGAACAATAATTCCATAAGTGAACCTTTTCAATAAGAAAGATAAGAAGCATGGTCATTTGCATTTCAGCTTTTGTAGGTAGAAGAGCAGTCTAGTCTTTCAGAAGTTTTGATCAAGTTTGGACAGCTGCATTTTGTATTGCAGTTACTGCTGTTCTATTGCTTATTTTTGGTCCTGCAAGTAGATTCCTTATCCCTAACAACTTAAATGTCCTTCAGATTCTCATGTTAGACTAACAAAGCCACTGAGGGATTTATGGAACAGTGCAATATAGCAAGAAGTACACAGTCTAGTTTAAGCCCATAAATAAGTTTGCATTGACACTGATGAAATTACATTGAAATTAATGAATTTAGAAGTACTGCTAAGTTTGTCAGACTGATGAAGCAGGACACTCTCATTAACAAATGGAAAACAAAGACCAAGTAATGCAAGGAACACATTGAAATTCAGTGAATTTTTGATTACCAAAAAATCCCAAACCCCAAAGACCAGAAAAACACACACATAGGGTTTGTGGTTGGATTATTTTGTTATTATTATTTAGCAAGTGCTTTTTTTTCTCTTCCATTAACTTTTTGTTACGGTTTACTCATATTATACTAATTAACTTCCTGTATATATATATGTACTTGTTTTGGGGGGAAGCTGTTTGGTTCTCTTTTATTTTAAAAAAAGGTCATTAATACCAACCATGTTTTGAACAAGTTTAGAACTGATTTCTAAGACGGCATGGTTCAGCTGCTGACCCCCCTGCATGCCCTTCCAGAACACCAAGGTCTAACACTTATTCACAGTGTTGCAGTGCCAGAACTCAGCTGCTCCCACAGACTGAAACTGTGGGGAACCCAGGACAGAGAGATTGGTTTGCTCTGTAGGACTCCATCTGAATAGAGTGATATTAAATTGAAAGCAAAAAGAGGTGATAGACACAGGCCAACTTCTAGATGAGTAATTGAGTGCAAAAGACACCATGCACATATTCTCTCATCACGGCTTCCCAACTCTCCAGTCCTACCTCACAGGGCTCTTGATTTCTCCAAATACTGAGTGTGTAGAAGACTGTCAATCATGGCTAAATGAGAACAACCTGAAGCTTTGCCGCAGGCCTTCTTTACTGATGTACAACTTTGCTTTGATACTGTCACAAAGGCATGACACATAATAAATACAGAGAAACCTAATAGAAGACATGACCAACAAAAAAAGCCATGGACCAAATGGAAACAACTGCTCCTTTCTGACCTAGAACACATGACCAAGAAGGAAAGGCTGTAAGAATTGTGTTTATCAAGTCTAGAGAAAAGACTAAGAGGAAGGTATTACACACATGGAACAGATCATTGCAGGAGACAGAAAATGTTTAGTTCTTAGCTTCAGTTTGGGGCAGCAAAATAACCAAAGGATTTAAAATCATAGCAAAAAGTCAGGGTTTGGAGAAGAGATTTCTTAGAACAAATTATCTGGGGAGACTGTGGCTTTTCCATCACCAGATGTTTTTTGAAAGAATTAATACAAGATTGAAAGAATTTGGAAGATTAGTATGGGACAGGCTGGTGTTGATGTCACCTGGTTTACTGGAAAGTTTATTCCGTTGCACCTAATAAATAGATCTATTAATCCAATATCTTGCCTCCCTTAGAGAGCAGGATTCACTGAAGGAATCTCTCACTTGAATAATTTTACACTCTTCTACACCTGCATCTGTATTGGCAAACAAGCCAGTTTCAAAGGTAAAAAGTGGGTGTATTTTTACTTCAGAAGCTGCTCCCTGGCTATACTGCTGAGCTATCTTATGGACTGATTCATGAGGCAGTCCTGCAAAGAGAAGTTATGCGGTTCTTTTTGTCCTTAGGTGGTTGAAGCTTTTCAAAACTAGGTCAGTGAAAGGGTTAACCATTGAAAAGGATCTCTCTCACATGACTTTTACCCACAGGAGGAAGGGATACATTCTAAAATTCAGATGTGGATCCATGGAATGGAGAAGGTTCAAGACTTGTAAGCTCATTATGAAGAAATCTCAGTTTTTAGTGGCAATTCATTAAGTTATTTATTCCTTTGTTGCTCATCTAGGTCACCAGATAATGGCACTGAAGAATCATAAAGAAACAATCATGATTCACACTGCTCAAGGAAAACAACATCTGACTTTCTTTTTTAAACTTGGACAGCCACAAACTACTGAAAGTATTCAGAAGAAAACAGTCAGAGATATTCTGTATGCACAGATAATGATTACAAATCAGTGTCTTCTCAGGGCATGAGCATATGCTGTGAGAATGCCTAATGACCATCTGGAACAACTGTGTCAGCAGGCACAGCTCCACCAGCAGTAATTGGGTCATACTTCATTGACCAAGAGCTGATTTTGGCCTACAGGTTTTAATGGTTCTTTGAGGAGATGCTGCATTTGTCAGCAAAATCTCAAAAGTCTCTCCTTGTAGAAGTTATTGGGTTATTCCTAACACCTCTCATTTTTCTTTGCTTTCAGCTGAAAGGAAGATGGTCTGTGCACCTGCTAAGACACTGAGATCCGTGCTGTGACCTGCGCATATCCACGCAAGAACAGAAGTATAGAATCTCTACGTTTATAACAATCGGCTATAAACTTATAAAGCCCTTCATACTTTTGATTGCCTTTCTCTGAAACTAATGTTATAAAAGGGAAAAAAATTATTTTGATATCTGTCTGTGAGACCTGATGTCTTTTGATGCCTTCAAACACTGCAGCAATGTCAGCAGCCATGAACACGTGATAGTAGAGGCAAGTTATTGTTGTGCAGTACAGACAGCTATGATTCCCTAAGTAGAGACAGCAGTTCACATTAAATCAACAGAGATTTATTAGGCAAAAAGACTATTTCTACAACTACCAGAAAAGAGGAAAAATTTAGATTCCTCCTGCTAGGCAGTTTTTATTAGAATTACATTTTGAACCCTGCATAGTCAAAAACCCAGGACATTTACCCCATGGAATAAAGTTATTGCTAAAGTTAGGAGATCTTTTCTGTAGAGAGGAAGGTTCCAGGTTTGGCCAGCGATACAGCTGAAAGGAGGGGAGTGGGTAGGGACACCATGGAACAGGCACTGTGACAAAATTTTTGCAGATGCTTAAGTGAGATCACCTCCAGCACTAGCATATAATCAAGAAAGTGCCTACAAGATACCAGTATGGAGGAATTCCCCAAATCCCTTGTACAGAACTTGGCGTGATGCACAGGGAACAAGCACACTGAGTTTCCAAAGCTGGGGTAACTGTGCCTGAGTCTTTGGGACACAAAACCGGACTCAAATGCTTGCTTCCAACAAACTCTGTAGCAAAGGTGACCTTTTCATTACTTGGTTTGTGAAACTATAGTCAAAAACGGAGCAAAATTCCATGATAAGCCTGCAGCATATGCTTATGTTATTCTCATGGGAGCACACAGGTGTGCGAACACCTTTTTTTTCCTCAGTCTTTATGTAAAGGAAGTCAAGAATCGCAGAGCAGACTGTGAAATCTGTACAGTGAAATATCATTTGCTATATCGTGTAGCTGGTAGTATGAAATAATATAAGATAGAGCACTGCAAAAAAACCAGAACCATAATAAAACTACTTTTCTTTACTTGTTCTTTTTTATCAATTTACTTAATAATTTATTTGCTTGGATATTTTTTTGTGATATTCTGCTAGTCCAGGTAATTATGCATCAGAATATGGGACAATCAGAACCAGACTGTATTTATCTCTCACCATGGTGTTAGCTTACAGATATTAAACGGTTTTGTCAATTTGCCAAAAGATGCATATATTACATTATTAGTAATTTATCACTAATTAATGATAATGTTTGTAATCAGTAATGCTTGTAGCACCAAAAAAAAAAAAAAGTTATTTACATTTTTGACATTCCAAATTGTAGAGATGTAAAAATTCATCAAATATACTTTAGCTGAAGTCTATAGAATTCTTTCACTGAAAAGGCAAAAAAAATTGAAACTGAAACGAGATATATTTTATATCGTGTACTTTTGAAAAAAATTATTCTCAGGAACTCTCAGTTACCTTCTAAAAAATTTCATCCCAGAGTTATATTTTGTCTTTTATCATTATCACAATATGAAGGAATGAAAGTGTCAGGCAGAGGCATAGGGACTCTTGTGCATCTGTCCTGCCCCAGTTCGATACCCATGCCTCGTGAAAAATGTCTTTGTGTTGCAAGATCATAGAATCACAGATTAGTTTGGGTTGGAAGGGAACTTTAAAGGCCATCTAGTCCGATCCCCCTGAAATGAGCATCATTTGACCTTCACTGACAGCTTTAACTCGATCTGGTTGCTCAGTGCCTAATGTACAGCATCACGATGCCCACGCCACGCGGTGGGATAAGCCCGGGGCCAGCCATGCAGTGCATACTGAGCTCTCAGACCCAGCACGACTAGCAGAAGCCACCTACAGCTGAGACTTTTCTCCCCGTTGCTGCACAGAGATACCTCGAGACAAGATGTGACTTCAGGTAATTGCACAAATCTCTTCCCAGTGCTCCAGCACTTTTAAAACACCCTCTCTGCAGTTCTTGTTACCTGTCTCTTGCTGCTTAGATCGAGACGGTCACGCATTTCACTCTCAGGATCAAGCAAAGGCGCGTCACAGGCATCCCTCTCCTGCATGAACCGGACCCGCACCCCCCCGCTCCCGGAACCGCACCACTGTAGCCGGGCTGGTAGAGGGCAGTGCATCTTTTCTCCACCTCCAAAGCGCTCTGCCCCGTCGGGAAGGGGATGTATTTTGCTTTTTGGGAAGCATACCAAGGACAGCGACTCCCCCGAGCGCAGGAACCCCGCGGTCTGCACCCCCGCCACCCCGGCCCAGAGGCGCCACCGAGGGACGGCGGGGACGGCGATCGGGTCAGACCGCTGTGTTCCCAGGTGAGCACTGTCACCTTGGGCTGGTTGTCACTCCACAGTAGTCCGAGACTGAGCACTGACCCTGCACAGCACTCACCGGTGTGGGAGGAGGGAAGGAGCAGCTGGTGGTACACTTCGCTGTCAGTGATCTCCCTTTGCCTCCATCAGATTGACAGCGGGCAGCATATGTGACTTTTGTGGTTGGATGTGCCAGAGGAGACAGCCTTGAGAGGAGTAGGGGTCTCGCCCTTTTTCCTCCCCCTTCCAAGTCATCCTCATCACCAGTGAGCCTGGCCACCATCTCCAGTAGTCATGGAGAACTCCTTCCCTGAGACCAATTCCTTGTGTGCAGACTGCACGGGGAGAGGGCATGGGGGTCTGAATATATCTGCTCCTCCACTTAGCCCCAGGTTCTACATCACAGTGCCTGTCATCTACTCAGTCATCTGTGCCGTGGGGCTGACAGGCAACACTGCTGCCATCTTTGTAATCCTCAAGGCGCCAAAGATGAAAACGGTAACCAACATCTTCATCCTCAACCTGGCCACTGCTGAAGAGTTCTTTATCTTGGTGCTACCCATCAACATTGCTGACTACCTGCTCCTGCAGTGACCCTTTGGAGACTTCATGTGCAAGCTCATCATCTCTATAGACCAATATAACACTTTCTCCAGCATCTACTTCCTCACTGTCACGAGCTTTGACCGCTACCTTGTTGTGGTGGCCACCACCAGGTCCAGGAAGTTGTCCTACCGCACCTAGTGAGCAGCCAAGATTGTGAACCTTTGTGTCTGGTCCATCGTCACAGTCATCATCCTGCCCTTCACTGTCTTTGCTAAGATACACAAGGAGCGGGAGTGCTCCCAGTGTGTCTTTGTGTTCCCCTGTCCTGAGAGTGTGTGGTGGAAAGCCAGTCAGATCTACACCTTTATTTTAGGCTTTGTCATCCCAGTGTCCACCACCTGCACCCTCTACACCACCGTTTTGTTCAGACTAAGACATATGCAACTCAATTGCAATGTGAAAGCCCTGGCCAAAGCAAAAAAAAAGGTGACACTGATGGTACTTGCCATCCTGGCTGTGTGCCTGTTCTGTTGGACATCCTATCACCTTAGCACCTTAGTGGTGGCCCTCATCACAGACATCCCACAACCTCCAGTCATCATTTGGATTTCCTACTTCATCACCAGCCTAAGTTATGCCAATATCTGCTTCAACCCTCTCCTGTATGCCTTCCTGGATGACAGAGGAGCTTTCACAAACTGATAGATCGCAGAACCACCTCATGAAGCCAACCCTCTGTCCCCTTGTCTGTACCTGTCACAGTTACCTGCTTTTCCTGGGTGATTCCAGCCCAGAGAGTGCAGAGAGTGTTTTCTCTCCAGTCTCCTTTTGCTTGTCTGCAAGTTTTCAGGTTATCTCACTACCCAAGACATGAACTGGGGACAAGTGTACCTTTCTCAACTGCCCTGTACTCATTTCTGTAGCATAGCTTGCCTTGTTATCTTTTTCTTTTTCTTTTTCCTTTTTCTTTCTCCTTCTCTTTTTACTTTTATTTTTCTTCTTTTCTTTTTTCTTTTTCTTTTTAAAATTTTTTCTTCTTTTTCTTTCTTCTTCTTTTATTTTTCTTTATTCTTCCTATTATTATTTTCTTTTTTATTTTTTCCTTTTCCTTTTTCATTCCTTATCTCTAACGAGCTTTATGACCTAGGTTTGTAGCGCACAGAGCTGCAGCTTTTTAACTCCAGCCACATGACTGTCTCAGTTACTGGTGATTTGTAAAGCCCAATAAAGGTCTGTTACCGAGTGTCTTGCCTCTTTCCTACCCATAGGACCTGCTTACCCAATGTCTTGCAAACTTAGCAATAATTGAAAAAGGCACAACTACAAAGGATAAGAACAAACCAAAGTATTGAGCTCATTTAATTTTACAGGTGACTAAGATAAGGTAGTCAAGATCCACGATAACAGGCAAGAGAGACCTCAATCTGGCTTTAATGAAGAAAGAGCACACCCTGACTAGTGAATAAAACACACAGATGTGGGTTTGGAGCCACTTGCTGTGGAAGATAGCTTAATAGTGTACTTGGTAGTTGTAGTTTGTAAAACCTGCAGCTTTTGTTTGTATCAGAAGTGATGATTACTTTATTATTTACCATGTGTTTATGGGCCATCTCCTTGTTGCACATACAGATTTTTTTCTTTTTTATTTTTGGTCCTAGAAAACAGAATCAAAAAGTATTTTCAGAACAAGTTAACTTTTAAGCATTTGAAAAATTCATATGCAGTGGTTAGGTTACTTTTAAACTATCTCTCACACACTTGCATTCTGTTTTTGTGTAATATTTATTAATATTTCTCTCAATGAGAAGTGAAATGAAAAAATAAATTTTAAAAAGGAAATACCTAAAAGATTAGGTTAATTTTATCTGAAAGAGGAGGGAGAGGGTGAATGAAAGTTTCACTAGAATTCACATATCCAACACTTCATGAGGAGGTTTTTTCCTCCTATCTCCTCTTTTAGCCATCTAAGGAAAACTAAAAAAATATGGAAGACCAAGAAAATATTTGCAGTCACTTAAAATTTCTCATCTTAGTGGACTTCCCTACTCTTCCCTACGCCAGATGCTAAATCAGTGTAACACAAATTTTGTTAGGTATTTTCCCCTCTCCTGAATACAGAGAGATAGGGAAGTGTGGCTAAGAAATTGCATTTCCACAGGAGGGGATGATGAGCTTCAGGAGGTGCATAAGGATTCATGTGGTACATCCTCAGGTTTGCGGGTGCCTCCTGAAAGCCCTTGTACCTCCCACTGCTGCAGTCTAAACGTCTGCCATAGGCATGTGGAAAGTTTCTTCTGCTAAATCCTTCTGAAGAAACTCCAAATGAAAATTTTACTTGCAGATTTTAGCAATTATGCAAATCCTGGTACATTATAATACCATATAACTGGGTCGATGACTAAATCATTTCTCCTTATAAGACATTAATATTCTCTGAGACAGTCAGTGCTAAATTCAACATCCAGCCTAGCTGTTATGGAAATGGAAGGATTCCAACAGTGTCTAGTTCTACTTCATTGGAGGGTATATGATTGACTTCCATCAGACACAGAAACTGGCCTTTGAAAGGGCAAGCCCAAAATGTGTTGATTACCCATTTCCACACCACATGCAAAAACATTCTTTGGGAACCAGAGTCCCACACTTCCATCTTTCCGACTGAAACAAAAGGTAATAAACTTTTTCCATCAGCTGTCTGGTGGTCAGTCACTTGCCATGGAGAAAGACATTAGTCTGTTCAGGCCAAGTAGCAAAGCCTCTCCTTGTTTAGGCTGCTGGTACACGCAACCATTTCATATTCTAAAGCCATCACTTTCACAACAGCTTTATTTGTGTAAAGACTGCATACAGGTAGAAAAATAAATAGTATTATTCTCAGGAAAGGGTCATTATTCCCTCATTGGTTGTGATCCTTCCCTGAAGACTGAAAAATTCCTGTGCTCAATTCCTCTTGTCCGTAGGGGAAAATATGAGAAGTATTATCCATTAACAAAATTCACTTCAAAGTATCTTGGACTGCTTGTCTTTTTTCTATCAGAAACATAAAAGTGCAAACAGAATATCACCTGTGGTAAACCTAATCCTTCCCTAAATTCCTTCTCATTCTGGAACCACATCTTACCTGTTCCTCATAATAGGATGAACATCCAAGAAGAATTCTGTGTGTCTCAAAATGTCTGGAGTTTTCCGAGAGCTGTTAGTCACAGAACAGGCTGAGATTGAGCAACAGCCCACCTCTGACATGGGTGCTCATCTGAACTTCACGCACTGAGCTGGACTCCCCTTGCTCAGCTGTGCTGTCTATGGTGTCCATGACATATTTGGGAGGTGGAACTGGAGCCTATCCTACTGCAGGCATTGCAGACTGGTATCCACCTGAAGGAGAAAGTTGAGCCTGGAGAACCTGAGGAGGGTGTAGAACGGTAAGCAAGGCCCCCTCTCGTCCCGAAGAGCTTCAGCATTAAAACAGGTGATACCCAGTTCTTCTCCCATCATATGCTCTTTTTTGTTTGGAAAACAGAACATTCTAAGCTTAAATGTGATGAAATCCAGCATTCAGCGGGAAAGGGAGAGGTTTGATCTTCAACACTGCTGGTCAGCAAGGATGATCTGATGCTGTATAGAAGGTAAACTTTGGCTCCCAGAGCAGCCATAGAGGATAACATAATGAGACATTTGCTCCCCTTAAACATTTCTAATTTCTTTTTTTTTTCCAGAGCAGTATTTTATGCTCCCGTTCAGACAATGCCTCACCAGCGATAATGAAATTTAACAGCATCATATTGTAAGACAGCATAGTTGCTGTAAGGAAGTATTTTCCCAGCAACAGCACTGTTGCCTGGCTATTCCTGGGCCAGTTATCCCAAACCCCTAGCTGATATTGACCACCATCAATCTCCGTGCTTTTTTTGGACTTCTTCAGCAGATTGCACTGACACCAGAGGATCTAGGCAAGTTTCTGACTCAGCTCAGGTAAGCTGGCATAGTTGAAGGGATACATAGTGCCATGTGATTTTTCATGTTCCAGATATGTTGGTCAAAGCAGCCTTCAAAACACACATCTCCTCCATCATCCCTGTGCCACTTACCTCTTAAGTTTTGCACCTCTATCAGTTGTATTTTAGAGGTTTTCAAACATCTCTCCAAGTATTTTTTCCACAACATACAGCTGCCCTGAAGTCAGGAACAGCACATCAGCAGGAAGCAGGCAGGTGTAAGGAGGCAGATGCCAAAGGAGAACGGATCAAAGGGTGGTAAGAGGGAAAGATCAGAAGGTTTACTTCAAAAGCACTTTCCTGGTCTAACAGAGGTACTGACATGTACACGTATCCATATCTCATGAAACTCCAAAATCCAGGTTCAAGGAGTTCTCACATTGAGTCCTGCTAGGAAATCCAGGGTCTGCTCCCTAATTCCTAATTCTGAATAATTGATTCTTAGAGTATATATATGCATTATAATATATAACTATATAGTACTTAATGGGAAACGAAACACTATGCAGTTCTTTCCTGGCTTACTTTTCAGGCTGCCTGTCCCTGGTGCAACAAGCTGAAGTCTTAAAAACACTCTCCATGAGCACAGCTGTGACATGGGCAGATTTATGATCCCTGTAGTACATCTGGACGTTTCACTGCAGCTGTCTCTGGTTGAGCACATCTGTCAAAGGAAAGTTCATCCACAGAAAAGAACATTTTTTTTCATGGAGTAATGTTTTGCTTAGATTTTTCCTGCAAGCTAAACTAAACTCATTTAAAAAATTTTTTGAATTCTTAGGTGTCTCTAAGAATCAATTTCCTTTACTTGTCTCCTAAGAATGTTTCCAGTTTCTGCTCTTTTTAACCAACTAAGGGATCATTTTTTTTCTAATAAAACTTTTGAGAGCAAAATCTTCCACAGTTTTCCTGTACTTTAATCAAACTAGGTACTACAATTTCTAAAGCAAATTAATACTCTATTTTTAAGTCTAGTATTTGTAGAAAGATTTATGCCATAAGGACTTTCTCTTAAATGAAAATGTACCAGTTTTGCCTGGTTATATTTGACCAGATGGAGTTTTTCTCTATGAGTTCAGAAGTTCTGGAATTTCCAGAGCCTGGAAACACAGTAAGCATTCCTTTTCCAGAGACTATTCACATGGGGCCTTAATAATTTCAACTGTGTACTAATTCAATGACAGGATATCCAAACTCCTAGAGATAAAACATAATCAAATTAGTTGCTCGTCAATCAAAGAGATTTAAGGATCTGCTATTCACACAGTGCAAGCAGCAGATGAAGCTGCAGATTACAGGCTTGAATTTAATAGGCAAACATTTAGTCTAACATCGACATCATTGTCTAACACACACAGTACAACATGCAGCTGACAACCCCCCAGCATGTTCACATGTGCAACATAGACAAGTTTTCATTGTAAGTGATTGTTATCTTTTTGCTCATTTTGGTAAGCAGCTGCTTATATGAGCAGCCAAGTCAGGACAAAGAAATTGTTCCATTCTTAACACTGTGTGAGGATTCACTGCTCACCAATATGAGTAAGGATCTTGCAGACAAACCCACCCCAGTTACAGTGGTCCCTAGCCCCCTCAGCTTGTTTGGCCTCTTTCTGCTTCTAAATAATTCCACCGTGGAAACTGAGAAAGTTCTTTATATTGCTTCACCAATTCAAAGCATGATGGCAACACGAGGCAACTCTGCATTTGTGGTTCAAGTGAGAGAACACCACCAATTTCTTTTTCTGCATTACAAAGCTAAAAACATAAAATTAAACTCTGCATAAGTTTTATATATTTTTCATTTCCCCATCTTCTTTCATTGCCATCTTTTGAAAGTATGAAGAAGAAGCAAAAATTATCAATTTATTGCTAAGACAGTTATTGAGGCTTCGCAAGTGCTTCCGAAGTATTTTTCTACTTCCAAAGCCTTTACACCACCAGAGGGGGTTCAAACACAACTT